CCAAGCCCTGGTGTGACACACCAGACTTCCGCTGCTTCTGCTCAAAGTTCTCTGCTTCTGTTTTCCTCCCACAGAAGACGTGGGCTGGAAGAATTGTCAGTTTGTCCCCTTGTGTCATCAGTGGGTCTAAGAAAAGAAAGATCCTCTGCTCTAGTGAAATATTAAATCTCTGGTCTAAGAAAAGATACCACCTCTTCCTCCTAAAGCTGCCTGGCTAATTGAAGGAATTTTGCAGGCAGTTTGAGATGGGCAAGGTGGGTAACGAGCCACCATAGAACACAAAATACACGTAGGGCTGCTTCACGAGGGGTTCAACAGATGGGGTTCCCCACTTTGCCTGGCAAACAGGATAAGAATTAGTAAGGAATTCCAAATGCTTCTCATCAGTTTGCTAATTAAGCTAACAAGACACGTTGAGTTCAACCCATGAGATTGTTCTGCGCTGTTGTGTGGACCTGTGGATCCAAACCTCACTCTTGGTGTGTTGGTTGTGTTTGGGACGTGGTGCCGTGTCTCAGGACTTGGGTAGACGCCTCTCAGCCTGTGGTTGGGTGAGGGATGGTTGGCTGGGTTCCACGGCAGGGGACATACATCCTGCATCAGATCTGGTGGAGGGGACCACCGGAGAAGAGGACAAGGCTTCTGGTGAAGCATTTCTGAAGAGAGTGTCCACAGCTGAGTCCGCTAACGGTCTGTGACCCTGGCCCCATGCACAGAAGACCAAAATACATGTCCCTGAGATAGAGAGGGGACATGGCATTGAACTCCTGTGTGTGTGCTTGCCAAGGGAGAGAAAACCAGCCCAGAGCACCTCGCTCCCCACAGGAGTCTTGGCAGGGCTGCAGCCGAGAGGGGTTGCTCTCTGCCTGGCTGGTTCCCTGATTTCCTTCCTTGGGGATTTTGGAGAACATAGAATCATAGAATCATAGAATCATAGAATCATTGAGGTTGGAAGAGACCCTTGGGATCATCGAGTCCAACCATCCACCCTACTCTACAAAGTCCTCCCCTACACCATATCCCTCAGTACCCCATCTAAACGTCCCTTAAACACCTCCAGGGATGGTGACTCCACCCCCTCCCTGGGCAGCCTGTTCCAATGCCCGACCACTCTTTCAGTGAAAAATTCCTTCCTAATGTTCAATCTAAACCTACCCTGTTGGAGCTTGAAGCTGTTCCCTCTCGCTCTATTGTTAATTACCTGTGAGAAGAGACCAGCACCACTTTCATGCGAGCTCAGATCTGCCTCTCATCACAGCTTTGCTGTTTCGTGGGGTGTTTCCCAGTCTCTGGGCAAAGGTCCTAAATCCCAACAGGGTTTTTATTTTGCTTTCTCTATCTCTCAGTGCCATCAAGGGCTCCTTGAATGCTGCTTCAGTCGGAGCAGTAATCTGGGACAGGGTTTTGGCAGGCAATGCCCCTGTTTTGTTGGTACCCACCCGTAACACAGTGCTGGCCAAAGCAGAGTGGCCTGACAGCTTGTTCCGGTAGCTGTTTTCGTGACATGAGAACATCAGCATAATTATACTGGGACAGATGAAAAAAATGTGTTTATTCAGGTGTCTGTCTCAAATAGCAGCTATTAGTAGATGCTCAGCGACAGGGTGTAAGGAGCACACCCAGATGAGAGAATGCCACCTTCTGCTTCTCCTTCCCAGCTTCTGGCTGCCAACAGTTTAAGGATTTCCTAGGCTGGAATTTGCACCCAGATGACCTGACTGTGATAACTTAATCCCCCTTTTTGGCTTCCACAGCATCCCAGGGCAATGAACCCATAATTTCACCATGAACCATGTGAAGAAAGCTGGCTTCTAGTAGGTTCCCATTAGCTTCTACGTTATGAAAAACTGGGAATAATTATTGTCTTTTCACCTTTCCTGGGACCTCATTTGTCTTAGTCTCCTTTGATTGAACCTTCCATTCATGGTTGCTGTCCATCCCTTTGCCTTTCCCAGCTCAGTATATCCTGCTGAGATGGAATGGGCAGAGATCCACATTACATTGCAGGTGTGAGCTCAGGATGGGTTTAGATGTTTGCTGTCCTTTCTCCACTTCTTTCCTAGCAAGATGAGGGCTCTAAACTAATTATTAGCACCTGTGTAATAGATCTTGGGGTCATTTCAGAATGTGATTCTTCTAGGCCTCCTTCTGCGATTTTTCTAGGTCTCCTCATAGTTTAGACTCCCAAATGACTCCAGATCCACAAACTTTTAGTTCCTTCTGCTAAGGAATGAGTTAAGCATATGTTTAAGGCCACATATCCTATCAGAATGTGATTCTTCTAGGCCTCCTTCTGCGATTTTTCTAGGTCTCCTCATAGTTTAGACTCCCAAATGACTCCAGATCCACAAACTTTTAGTTCCTTCTTCTAAGGAATGAATTAAGCATATGTTTAAGGCCACATATGTGTGCCCAAAGCTGTATTGGGGTCTTCTTCAGTACATTTTCCTGATCTTTGATAATGCTTGTAAAAAATTTGCTGAGTATTGGAATGACTCCTTGAGGCTTCCCAGGTTCCTCCTTCAGGAGCCCTTCAGAAAGGCACCGCCTGTCTGTCGCTGAGGGTGATTTAATGAATCACGGTAGGTAGTTCTGCAACTTCATATTTTAATGCTTCTAGGGTTTTGAATTGAAATACTTATCACTGATTTACCCAGCACTTGTTTTAAGTCTATTCTACTTAATACTTCCTTCAAAACAAGGTCTTGGTCCATCACTCGCAGTGAAAGGCTCCAATTGTCTCAACCTGATGCAGCCACTGACTCCAGCTCTTTACACCTTCAGCATTTGTCAGGCTGGGCAACAGCCTGACAAATCCTCAAAACTCGTTTAGTATTTTAAGTTTTTAGTATTTTTAATTTTACATTCAATTTTAATTTTTGCACCTTCAGCATTTGTCAGGCTGGGCAACACCTGGGACAGTCCCTGCCTCTGCTGTGTCTGGAAAAGTTTTTATTATTGGGGGTGGGGATTAACATTAGCATCTTGATCCTCAAAACTTGTTTAGTATTTTAAAATTTTAGTATTTTTAATTGTTTCGGTTTTAATTTTACATTCCATTTTAATTTGTTTAGTATTTTAATTTTACGCTTAAATTATGAGATAGTTATTTTTTATTTCCTGTTTGGACCCAAAATCCTGCTTTCTGAAGGATGTGTCTTTGCATATCCACCATCCCTGTGCCGTTCAACGAAGCTGACTTGTTCTTTTTAAATTTCAATATTGTTTCATTTTAATTTTTCTAAATTGACTGCAGTACGTTGGATGAGATTCAAAGCCAGAGAGTTTGTGTAGGGGTTTGCAGGTAAGCAAGAGGTCCGGGCTTTACTGCTGGTCAGTGGACAGGTTGTCCTGTCAGTGGAGTCTAAGGGGGGTTCAGGTCACCATCCCAAACAGAGACGTGCAGTAGGTGCCCAGATGAACCATTTTTTAGGCTCCCCTGATTTCGTGGACTCCATCTCTATTGCCCGTAATGGGAGCTTGGGCATCTTGCTCACATGTAATCATTTAAAATAAAGAGCTTCAATCTTTAATTGAGTGTGACCTTAATTGAATAATAAAGTTTTATTGCAGATTGCTGTTAGTTCAAATTTAATTTTGCTTTTAAATTAGTTTAAGTACATTTTAATGTTAATTTACAACTTTAAAACTCTGATTTTATAACACAGTATAAATTCACTGATTTTTATCTAGCCTGATGATGAGGACCTGCTGTTAGCCATAAAAATCCAACCTTAGCAATTTGGCTATTATTAAAACAATATTTTATTTATTATCACCCAGAGAGTTTAAACAGTCGTTCTTTCTTTAATAATTTACAGTTGAAGGACACAATCGAAATTCAATTGATGTCAAGAGGAATGTTCTCCTTGGCTTCAAAGAGCTTTTGATGAAACAGGCTTTCCAGTACAGACACACACAACTGAAGAAATGGTTAAAGTCAGTGGCAGAAGCCGTGTGAGCAAGGAGGTTTCAAAGGTTTTTGGTGCTCCAAACAGATCTACAGAAAACTTTTCCCCCCCCTTGTCAGCAATGCAACCTGGAAAAGAAAATCGGGTTCCCTGATACGCCAAGGAACCCCCCAAACCTTTCCTTTGTACAAAAACTTTGCCAAAAGAAGGTGCTGTGCATATAAATGTTAACGCTGGGCTTTGATTTTTGAGGCTTTGGCGTCTGAGCAGAAATCACCTGCACTAAGAAAAAGATGCTAAAGATGCTTCATTTCCTAATTTTGATCTTTGTGCCTAAATCTGACAGCCCGTAGGTGCCGCACATTTGTTTGCTATTTTAGAGTATCTATAAATATCAGTGATCTTTCTTTTTCACAATGTAGGAATCCAGAAGTGAATACCTACTGCTGAAAGTTTGAGAGGGCTCTTAGGATCTTAGATTAAGGGAAAACAAAAGAATGACTTATGGTATAAAAACTTTCCCTGAATATAAGTCTCAACAAAGTTGTTAGCGGTTTTGATATTAATCTTTCAGCACCTCTACAAGAAAGAAATTGTATTAGCAGAACCTTTAAACTAGAAAATAATTTTTTTAAAAACCCAAACATTTAAAGGATGCAGGGATGGGGAGTTTTTGTTAAAAAAAAAGTAGATTGAAATAGGTAGGATTATGGATTTTTACAATGTGAGTACTTTGTTACAGCAGCCAAGGGATGCAGAAGATAATCCATCACGTGCGTTCTTTAAATCCAGGCAGGTTGTATTTTTTGAACTGTAAAATGTAATTCAAATAGAAAATATTGATCTTGGGGAAGGAATCTCTTCTGCTCTGCAAGAGGTCAGGCAGGCCCCTGTGATGTTCCCTGCTGGTCCCTAAGTCGACAAATATTGATCTGATTCCTGTTCATCTTTGTGTGCTTCTGAGCCAAGGGGCACAGAGAGCAGGAAGGACCAGGTCCTCCTCCCACCTCTCCGCAGCGCTGAACCCCTCTTGGGGCTCCCCTCAAAGGTTTAAACAATACAATAAGATGAAATCTTTGTTTTTTCCAGCATGGGCCTGTATTCACAATATTCGCTCTGGGAAAACGCTATACTTTTGTGACTGAGGAAGAAGGAACTGAAGCATTTTTTAAATCGAAAGACTTAAATTTTGAACAGGCAGTCCAACCAGCTGTGGAGAATGCAGGTAAATGAGACCTAGCTCTTTTTTTAAATGGAAATCAAATCCAGTTACCCAGGAACATTAGAGCCCAGTCCAAAGCACACTGGCTTTTTGATCGTGCCTTAAATGTTTGTCTTAACCCATGACCATGCTACAAAATGAAGGTGGAATGAAATCCCTCCGTGTGGATCCAGCACTGTGAGGCTGCAAAGTGACCTGGATTCAGTCTCAAGGGATCAAAGGTTTCTGACCCAGGAACTGTTATTACTTTTAACCTTAAGTAACCCCAGTTTGAGATCAGGTCCCTTTCTGTGGCGAGACACTCCTCCTTTGTGTACAAGGTTAGGAGCAATAGTATGTTGTCCTATTACTTAATTTGATTATCAGCTTGCGGCAATAATTAGTTGTTACCCTGCAATAAAACAGTCATTAGGAAGGGATGAGGTGTGTGTCCAATCCGCAGTGGCACGCTCCACCAGCTCACATGCTCGTATCCACATGGAATCTCACAGACGGGAATTCTCAGAGCAGTTTGGCAATTTTGGACTGTGGAATGAGAGAGAAGCAACTTGGCAGAGAGGTTAAATCATGGACTTACGGAATCCCTGTGGCTGGAAGGCACCACTGGAGATGGCTCAGTCCAAGCCCCTGCTCAGAGCAATGCCAGAGAGAACAGGTTGCTCAGAGCTTGTCCCGTTGGGTTTTGAGTGTCTCCAAGGATGGAGACTCCACGATCTCTCTGGGCAACCTGTTCTTGGGTTTGACCATCATCACAGGACAGGTTGCTTGGAGCTGTGTCCTGTTGGGTTTTGAGTGTCTCCAAGGATGGAGACTCCACGACCTCTCTGGGCAACCTGTTCTTGTGTTTGACCATGGTCACAATAAAAACTTCCCTGTCTCAGTGGAATCTCCCTTATTCCCATTTGTGCCCACTGCTTCCTGCCCTTACTCCCACCACCAGATGTTTATCCACACTGATAAGCTACCCCTGAGCCTTCTCTTCTCCAGGCTGAATAGTCCCAGCTCCCTCAGCCTCTTCTGATACGACTGAGACAATGTATTACAGCATGAAGACCCAAACTGTTTTTTCTTGGATTAATTTATTTTTCATTTCAGTCAGTTTTGTGGGGTGCATGCACATCTCTGTACAGCCCCTCTGAAGCTGGGGGGACATCTCTGGATTGTTGGTTCTGGCACTGAAACTTCACGAGGCAGTAAGATGTTACACAGATTGGTAGAAGCAGATGGCTCACCAAAATCTTCACAGGGTTAAAACAAAGCTTTCTGGGAATTTCACTCTAGGAAAATGAGGATTAAGGCATTTCAATTAGTCGCAAGATATGTGTAAAAATTTTTACTCTTATCTTTCAGTGCAAATCTACTTTGTCTACATTCCACAACATCTTTCTGTTTCTTTTTATGTTTAGTTTCTGTCCCCGCGAAAGAATTTTATCAGAACCATGGTAACCTCTACAGCATGTTGAAGGGAAAAATGGGTCCTTCTAACCTGCACATGTTCACGGGCACTTTGTGTAAGGAACTCCAGGAGCACATGGCCCAGCTGGGCAGGGAGGGCACGGGTGACCTCAACGGCCTGGTAAGGTAAGGGAGTTTTGCAGCACATCTGTAACACCTGGGTGTCCTGTACAGCAGCGGAGATGTTACCATGGAGCAGGGGAAGTACAGGCTCACAAGTCTCAGGATATTCATCACAGTTTCAGGTGGCTCACAAAGTGGTCAGGATTTCATCTACAGGTGTTTCTCCCAGCTAGGAGGAAGCTGGTGAGGGGCCTGGAGAACAAGTCCTATGAGGAGAGGCTGAGGGAACTGGGCATGTTTAGCTTGGAGAAGAGGAGGCTGAGGGGAGACCTCATTGCCCTCTACAACTACCTGAAAGGAGGTTGTAGAGAGGCAGGGGTTGGCCTCTTCTCCCAAAGGAATGATGACAGGACCAGAGGAAATGGTATGAAGTTGAGGCATGGGAGATTCAGATTAGATATTAGAAAGAATTACTTTACTGAGAGGGTGGTCAGGCACCGGAACAGCCTGCCCAGGGAGGTGGTGGAGTCACCATCCCTGGAGGTATTTAAGAAACGTATAGACATGGCTCTTCAGGGCATGCTCTAGTGCCCAAGGTTATTGGTTTATGGTGGCAGGGGAGATTCAGATTAGATATTAGGAAGAATTACTTTACTGAGAGAGTGGTCAGGCACTGGAACAGCCTGCCCAGGGAGGTGGTGGAGTCACCATCCCTGGAGGTATTTAAGAAACGTATAGACATGGCTCTTCAGGGCATGCTCTAGTGCCCAAGGTTATTGGTTTATGGTGAGGTGTTGAGTGTGGGGTTTAGTTGGTGGGTGCGGTGTTTTTGGTGGGCATTTGGTGTGGTGTGTTTTGTATTAGTTTGGGTTTTTTTTGTTTTGGTTTTTTTTTGTGGTTGGACTCGATGATCTCAGAGGTCCCTTCCAACCACTAAGATTCTGTGATTCTGTGTGAACACCTCAATTGCTATTTGGAAGAATATCATGGACACGAGTCACCAATTCCATAACAGCTGCTATTTGTTTAAACTTTTTAAAAAAAAAAAAAAAAAAGTCATAGGCTAGATGGTAAACTACAGAATCCAAAAGTTATCCACAGTAAATCTGTGCTGAGCGTAATCTGTTCTTATGTTTTTTCCAGACAACACAGAATAGAATGGGAATGCAGTGCCCGGGATAATTATTTAGCTGCCTCAAAATTAACTGCACAGAGCCAGCAGGTGGCTCCATCTTCCTTATGATCTGTAGAAAAGCAAGGAAGTGAGAGAGCCATTGCCTGAAATCTGTGTTTATCAGCGGCTGGAACCCAGCAAAGGCTGCAGAAGGGTTTCTCAGAGCTCAAGGGCACAGGTGCGGTGACCTGGGAAATGAGCTCAGGGTTTGCAGGACGCCAGAGGAGCAAGTAGGGAAGGAGTGAGATAAAATACAACAACAAAAAAAAAAAAAAAAAAAGAAAAAAGAGTTGTTCAGTCCAGAAAAGCTGCAGCCAGAGGAAGGATCTCTCAGAATGTCTGGCTGCAGAAGGGGTTGTGCAATGCCCAGAAGGTCCACACAGGCAAACCTGTAATAAGAGGGGTAGCTAATGGGGAGAAGAGGACCTCAGCACCCAGAGCCTTTCTGCAACTTCTCAGGTGACCAAACACTAACTGATGAAGTTCAGCCACATGCAGAGGACTAGCATGAGGTCCACGTATCTCCCAGCCTCTGCTAAAGGTCTGCAATAAGTGTGTAAGGTATGAGCCTTGTGCCAGCCCTTCTATACTGGTGTGATGCTCAAGTCCTGCACTTCCACTGTTGGTAATTCAACACACCGTATCCTGACCTAAAACTGCTGCAGCAGCTTCTCTATGGCCTGTAAGTCATGGGGGTCTTCTCCTTGCAGGTACGTCATGTATCCAGCAGTGGTGAACACTTTGTTTGGGAAAGGCATCTGCCCGACAAGTGAAATCCAGGAGTTTGAAGAACATTTTCAGAAGTATGATGAGGACTTTGAATACGCCTCTCAGATGCCCGAGTGCTTCCTGAGGTAACGGAGCGGAGATGATGCTCGTGGTGTGCCCGTGCCCAGATGCCCGAGTGCTTCCTGAGGTAACGGAGCAGAGATGATGCTCGTGGTGTGCCCGTTACAGCCATTTTGCTTGCTGGGATATCAACTGTGAGAGACATTTCCCTTGGAGGATGATCCTCTGTCTTTATCGATGGTGTGTCCTTGGGTCAGGCAGGCTTTCAGCTAGGTGCTTCAATGAAGGTCTGACCTTCTCTCACACATTTCAAGCACTGGAACAGGCTGCCCAGGGAAGTGGTTGAGTCACCACCCCTGGAGATATTTAAAAGACAGGTAGATGTGGTGCTGAGGGACATGGTTTAGTAGTAACTTGGCAGCTCTAAGTTAGTGGTTGGACTCGATGATCTTAAGGGTCTCTTCCAACCAAAATGATTCTGTGCTTCTATGATTGGCACAAAGCAGAAACAACCTTGCTTAGGTGGGCAGGGTCCAGCATGGACCTGTCAGGGAGCAGCAGAACCAGGCAAAAGGCAAAGGCCTGAGCCTAAATGTGAATCTCAAGCTGAGGGGATCCCCAACAAGACATCTCTCTGCTCTTGCCCACACTTTGACTGCTTTCCCAGCAGACTGATCAAAGGCCTGAGCCTAAATGTGAATCTCAAGGTGAGGGGATCCCCAACAAGGCATCTCTCTGCTTTTGCCCACACCTTGGCTGTTTTCCCAGCAGACCAATCCCAAGTCACATGGCTGACCTTGGGTGTAGGCAACCAAACCCCAAAGAAGGGAGCCTGTCAGTGCTCTCAGGGCCATGACAGCACCTTCAGAACCTCCAGATAGCCTTCAGAAAGAACAAGGGATGCTCTAAAAATGTGGTCTTTATTTTCTTAGGGGAGTTCATTCTTGAAAAGATTGAGCTGAGCAGTTGTCCAAAGCCACAATGAAAACCCATAGTGGGATAGATATGAAACTCTAGGAATCCTCAAGTCACAAGTCCTGGCTGCAAGATGAGGTCTGGCCAAGGTGAAGTCAACACTACTGTCAGATTGACACTTGAGTATTCATCAACTGACTGCTGCCCAGGGGCTTTTGGAAAGAAACCAAGGAGTCCTTCTCATGGAAAAGAAATGTTGTTTTGTGCTGCCTCGGTTAAGTGCTCCTTGCTTGTTGCTTTTTTTTTACAGGAACTGGTCTAAATCCAAAAAATGGCTTCTAAAATTATTTGAGAAAGTCGTGTCGGATGCTGAAAAGACTAATCCTTCAGACACCACATCCAAGGTAAACACCCAAGGCTATGAAATGAGATGACTTTGTTGTATGTTGTGACTGAAGCGATGGAGGGCAGGAATTATTTCAATACTGGAAGAAATCAGCCAAATATCTCAGCTTTGATAGCTGTACCTTAATTGTCCAGTATTGCTGTCACCTACATTAGGCCAGACACATAATTTTAAGCCCTGCTCAACTTAGTTTATTTCCTACAATTTGCATAATTAACATCTTCATCCAGGGAATTTTAAGGCCAGGGTTCAGAGCTATGGCCCACTGCCAGCCTCCAGTATGGCAGTTGCAGGGAGCAGTTGAAAGAGGTGAGAAGAAAGACCTCTTCAGTTGTTTCTCTGAGGGCACCGCGCTGTGAAATTTCAAAACCTTACACGTACTATTTTTAAAGCCTGGTGTAGAGTGAGTAGATCCTCCAGCAGCCAGACTAGTAGAAAATAGCAAGATTACTGGATTGGAAGCCAAGTACCCTAAATATTGATTGTGTCAAAGCTGTGATAAGTTGTCCCCCTGGTTATTCTCCTTCGCTATGGCAGGAATTCTGTCTGTAGAGATGACAAACGCGAGGGCAGACTGGCCTGGGAATTTTGATCTACCAAATGGTTATAAAACAGATCATTAAACAAACCAGGTTTTATTTAGACTTTAAAAGCTTTACATACCACACTTTCTCTCATAAAATAAGCCAGAATTGCAGAAAGAGAGGGCTGGAGAGGGGGTGGTGGGAGGTAAGAAGGTGCAGGAAGTACGATGCACATACTTAGTGTCTTAGATTGGGTGGGAATTTGGAAAAAAGAGTGGTCATTTTTTGTTCAAGGCCATCCTTTTGGCCTCTGAAAAGACAGGAAGCTTTGCCTTGAATGCATGGTTGCCCCCCTGTATTTAAGTAAATACCATAAGCAAAAGCTGATGCTAGAACATTACACAGTTGCTATAGTTTCCAAGAACATCAAGGCGTTGATGTCATTGGTTAGGTCACTAACAGAGCACCCGGAACCAGGGACTTTGCTGATACATCAGACCATCTCTTTCTAACAAGAACCTTTTTGGCAGGAACAGAGAGAACATTTTCTTCATTTCCGTCCGTTCAACTTGTTCAGTCCCATTTTCAGGGTCTTTGAAGTAGAGAAGTAGAGCAGGAATTAAAAAAGAATAGAGATTTCTTTCTTTCTTCTTTCTTCCACATATGAGAAACAATGGAGAGTGAGGGAACCAGATTCCCTAAAAACTTTAAGAAAACAGAGGGCAGTGCAAGGATTCAGTAGGGATTCACGTGGGGCATTGACTTCTCCTGGCCCTCTGCCTATGAGTGAGCCTCACTTCCTCTTACCAGCTGTCATCTCTGATTTGTGACTGCAAAAACCCCCATAAACAACATTACTCCTCGTTGATAAACTAGTCTTGCCTTATATCCTCGAATTCTAGTAAGCCCTACCCTAACCCAGATTTTAATATATTTTTGAATATACACATTATTATCTTTCATCTATAACAGACGCTACTGCATCACCTCCTGGATAACTTGCAAGAAAAACATCTGGGTCCCAATTATGGTCTCTTGATGCTCTGGGCTTCCCAAGCAAACGCTGTCCCTGTAAGTATCTCAGTGAGAGGAACGTGTTCTCTCCAACCTGCTCAAAAGCCTGGGTTTGGGAAGCAGAGACTTTGCCCCAGAGGCCACCCCCACTGCATGGATTCCAAAGAAGGGATTATCACGCCCACACGCATCACCACAAATATACCCAGGCTGCAGTGTCACAGAAGCAATGACAAGAAAAGCCCTGCTTGTATTTTTCCTAAATTATTATATCCCTTATCACAACATTTCGGCAACATATGTCTCGTATCTATTAAGATCACACTCTTGAGCTGTGAAGAGCATTTAACTCTGTTTTGAAGCACTGTGGCTGTATTGTAGTAGCGACTCGATTTTAAATAGCCTGGTGTTATCAATTGTAATCCCTCTCTGAGGGGAGACCTTATTGCTCTCTACAACTCCCTGAAAGGAGGCTGTAGAGAGATGGGGGTCGGTCTCTTTTCTCAAGTCACAGGCGACAGGACAAGAGGAAATGGCCTCAAGTTGCGCCAGGGGAGGTTCAGGCTGGATATTAGGAAAAATTTTTTCACTGAAAGGGTTCTCAGCCATTGGAATGGGCTGCCCAGGGAGGTGGTTGAGGCCCCATCCCTGGAGGTGTTCAAAAGACGGGTTGATGTCGTGCTGGGAGGTCTGGTTTAGTGATGATGCTCCTTGTTTGTTGTGTGGGTGTCTATTTTTGTCAGTTAGGTTGACGGTTGGACAAGATGATCTTTAAGGTCCCTTCCAACCTAGAAGATTCTGTAAAGAACAGAAACCCCATAATATAGAGTAACTTCATCTGTGTGTAAATCCTTGAGTGATTTTGACTCCTGCGCTTTGGGGGATCCGCTGTACAAACGCCAGCGTTGCTTCGGGGGAAGAAAAGCAATAGTTTGATTCCACTGCTGCTTAAGTTTTGTCTCTGTTAGAAACGGATTTGAGGGATTAATGGTACAGATGTATGTATGCTAACAAGCCCAATAGATCTGACACAGCTCAGGCTGACCAAAGACATTTAGAGGAATTTCTCAGATGAAAAATCCATAGCAGCAAAAACATCCTTTATTTACCATGACTACTAAGCTCTTTCCAGCACAGTTATGTCTCTTACAGATGTGATTTAGGAAAAAAAAAAATGATAGTGAGTTATTTTTATACATACTCCTGGTGGGTATATCTCTGTTTTTTCTAGATTGGATATTCCTACAGTTTACCCGAAAAGAATTTCATCCATTTCAGTGAGGTTTCTGTGGATGCACGTGTTGGTCTAAGTGAGAGGCACAGCCTGCTGTCTGTTATCAGGATAACTGACATTCCTTCCACGACGCTATCATGACTTACTCCTGTAATATTCAGCTGTAAATAGCCATACAGATATTCCCTTGTTTCTCAGAATAGTCACAACCACTGTTCTGGTGGCTGGAATGATGAAAAAAAAAAAGGCCTTTCAGTTTCTGAGGGGATTTTTTATGAGTGCATTAAACCCTTTTATCTGAAACCATCCCGTTATCCCTCCTCAGCCCACGGAGCGAGGCCGCTCCGGGGTGTCCCAGCACTCTATGGGAAAACCAAGGGATTTGTTGGGCAGAAGGAGGGATTTGTTGGGCAGAAGGAGGGATTTGTTGGGCAGAAGGAGGGCTGCATCCACGTGGGGCTGTTTGGGAAACAACAGGGAGAGGTCTCCTCCCTCCCCAGCACAGATGGCCCCGGCCAGGTCTGCGTGCAGACAGCATCTCCCGCCGGCTCAGCGAGGGGAGAGAGACTCCTGGCAGGGCTGCCAGCCCTTCTGGTTTCATCCTACTTAAGAGGATTTTCTCCTTTCCTAAATTTCTTGATTTTCAACTTCATTGCATAATCGGTTAGCAAATTATTTCTAAAGGGGACATACTCCTGCTTGTTTTGCTGTTAATTAAAACTTTTCCTGCCCGTTTTCGAGTGACTCGCTGTGACAATGCCCTGCAAATTATTTAACCTCATTTCTGCTAATATTAGTAGGAATTTACTATCTAATTTTTCTTCCATTCATGCAGCTCAATCTAATCGCACACGACGGTTTAGTAATTCATTTTAACACCTAGTTATTTGAAATTAAAGAAAGGATTCTGTGTTTCAAACCCAAAGCTATATAGTGCTCACTGAAGATAAGTACGCAGGAGATGAGCAGACCTAATCTCCAGGGATCTGAGCCCTTGGATGTGGATTTACCCTGGAAGCACAGCTCCCCGTGCATCTCACCTACAACAGGCACATCCAAAAAGCACAAATATTTTCACCTGCCTCTGTGATACTGCAACTCAATTCCATATTCCTGAGTTAAAAGTACTTTCATCTCTGTTTAGGTTGCATTTTGGACCCTTGTTTTCATCCTCTCTAATCCTTCCGTTTACAAGAAAATCATGGAAGACCTGGCTTCTGTTTTTGGCAAAGCAGGTAATAAATCCAATCGTGTCCTCCTGGAACCTAGAAATGATTTATTCTGTGTTGGCCCAGCTCACAGCTAAAGATCAGCTGCTGGGAATGATGAATGCTGCTGCTGAGGGTACTACTGATAAGAGTCCAGCTCCGAGTCCTTTACTCAGCATATGCTCAAGACAGATTTTTAAGCAAAAGCACCTTTGATGTTATCACGAGAAGGTAGAAAAAGAACCTCATGTACTTGTCTCTTCGTTCCACACCTATCACTTAGACCTCCATTTGTATTAACCAGTCTTGTGCTTTTTTCATGCCTCTCTGGTAGGGTCAGATGAGGTTTTTCAGTTCAACTGCTTTTCATGGTGTGATGTTCACCAGAGTTACAGCTATTCTGTGCAAAAACAGGCCAGGAACTGTTCTCTTTTCTTTCATCTGAGGCCAATTTGTCCAGCACGATTCACCCTCACATGACTCATCCCTTTCCTTCAAAAAACAGTCACCTACTGTGAGAAGTCACTCACGTATGCAGGCCCCTTAACCCTGCTTAAACTTTCATGGAAGACTCTTAGTTGACGTGGGTCAAAACCACATCAAAGAGCATGTCAATAATTAACCAATAAGAATAATCATGAACCACTGCTTAAGCCTTTCTCCTGGCCCTGTTTTATTTGCTGGTGTTAACAGAGCCCAAGAGCTCTTGGTGCCTACAGTCCCTGAGATTTCCATGCAGGGTCCTACCAAAGTACCCAAAAAGTCCAGGAACTCTTAACTTCCAAGATGACCTTTGTCTGGCCCCTTCTGGCAAATGCCACATCTACCTTAGAATTATTAAATTATCTTCAAAGGCTTTTCTTGAATTGTACTGATTTTGGTCTGTGTATTTACTTTGAAATATAAAGAAAACTTCTGAGTATAGACAAAGTCTTGAAGTCTTGAGGTATTATATCAGAAGGTTTAAAGCAAGACATGTCAGCATGTATCAAAACAGGTATGAAATCTAATTTTTACACAGCTTCTTCTTACTCATGCCACAACAGGTAAAGATAGAATAGACGTCTCTGAAGAGGAGCTTAAGAAGCTCCCTTTCATTAAATGGTGCACTTTGGAAGCCATACGGCTGAGGTCCCCAGGTGCAATCACCAAGAAAGTAGTAAATCCAATAAAAATTCAGGTGAGTTTTATTGTTTGGTTGGCTTTTTTGTGGTTGTTGTTTTTTTTTTCCCCAAAAGGATGCTGTATGATTTCTCTGGAAAGGGGCCTCCTGAAAGATCTGGATCAAGTTCAAATGCTAGAGATAGTCCACAATCTCACATATATGTTCTGTTTAGGTTTAAAAGATTTATTCATCATTAATTTAAGAGTGGTTTTGCTTCTCTTGCTCACAGTCTTACCTTCAATATTGAATTTACTTTAGATTGAATTGAATTGAGTTGGAGATACTGTGCAGATGGCATATGAAATAGTCATCAGACACAACAAATATAGTAGGAGGGACCACAATGTAGTAACTGATAACACTCCTTTTCTGTTTGTCTTCTTCACTGCCATTCAGAAGGGAAGTGCCAGTGCTTAAGAGTCTAACAAATAAATATTTGGGAGAAAAACATTCTCTTATGGAGTCAGCATTCATGCCTATTTAAGAAATTCCTAAAGTCCCTTAAACATCTACTGTCATATAAGACTTCCTACAAATTTCTTTGCATTCTAAAGGATGTGCTTAACAGAAGATTCAGCAAAAGGTACCAGCTCACATGATACATCCAGAAGGAGGAAAGACAGAAATAATATTTCTATTATTTCTATACCTGAAAAACCAAATTAGAACACAAATGGGCTTTCCACATTCTCAGTTCAGGTCCTACTTATGCCCACCATGGCTTCACCACTCTCACTTCCCGTCTGTTAGGACGTTCTGCTGATGGTAAGGAGGGACTGTTTTGTGAATTTAACTGTGATTTTCTCTTTTCTTAAGAGTTTTTTTCTCCTTTTCAGAATTACGTCATCCCTGCAGGTGACATGCTGATGTTATCTCCATATTGGTTACACAGGAATCCAAAATATTTTCCTGACCCAGAAATGTTCAAACCTGTAAGTTGTCACTCTGAGCGTTGGCTATTTTGCTGTCTTTTCTCCTCTTCACTTATTTCACAACAAAAATTAGTCTATTTCACATGGACAAATCGGCTTAAAGTTGGGTATTCCCCATTGTCTGCAGGTTGGCCTTGTATACAGAGAAGATGTGCAAAAAAAGGAGGAGCCTGTAGGAATAAGCAAGATTTTAAAGTTCAGTTACATATTCCAAATAATCTGGTAGCACTTTATATCACTTTGATCTTGATTCAAAGCCCACCATGGAAAGACCCCACTGATTTAACTTTTGAACCCAACTCCAAGAACTCTCCTCTCCCTGTTATTTGTTTGTGTAGCTCGTCTCCATGTATTAACCCAGGCTTATTGGGCTTTCCAGTCAGATGATTTCTGGTAGGTATTAGCTCTTCTAATTCAGTAGCTCATCTAGAGTTTCTTGATTATCATTCCACTCCAGGTGGCCGTGTGGGCCGGCTTGCAACTGCTCTTTTTAGCACCATCGGCTGTAGAACTGTTGGTCTTTTTTATAGAAATACATCAAAGAGCAATTTAAACAAAACTTCCCTTCTAGAAAACTCTTCACCAATTTGAAATCCCTCATAACGATTTCTGCCTCTTTGAAACCCTAAGCAGACAAATTGATGCAGCAGCTTATTTCTTTAGAAAATCTATCCCTAAAAAGAGAGCTAGCTAAATTTTTAGGAACTCGCCCTTTTTTCCAAGAGGAATAGGTGAGTACCCCTTGGGCACTGTCATTACAAATGGTATTGCCTTGCTTCATCACCAATGAGACTTTTTTTCTTGCTTTTGTTGGATTGTGATGTTAACAGGTCTCCTCTTCAGAAAGCTCTAAACAGCCCAAGTTGAAAAAAAAAAAATCCAAAATAAACAAACACAAGATTACATCTTATCGTAGAATCATAGAATCATTGAATGGTTTGGATTGGAAGCGACCTTAAAGATCATCTTTAACCCTCCTTCCATGGGCAGGGACACCTCCCACTAGACCAGGTTGCTCAAAGCCCCATCCAGCCTGGTCTTGAACCCCTCGAGGGATGGGCAGCCACAGCTTCTCTGGGCAACCTGGGCCAGGTTCTCACCACCCTCACAGGAAAGAATTCCTTCCTGATATCTAATCTAAATCTCCCCTCTTTCAGTTTGAAACCATTACCCCTTGTCCTGTCACTACACTCCCTGATCAAGAGTCCCTCCCCATCTCTCCTGTAGCCCCTTCAGATACTGGAAGGGGCTCTAAGGTCTCCTTGGAGCCTTCTCTTCTCCAAGCTGAACAACCCCAACTCTCTCAGCCTGTCCTCACAGCAGAGGTGCTCCAGCCCTCTGATCACCTTCGTGACCTCCTCTGGACCCACTCTAACAGGTCCGTGTCCTGGTCCATCTTCTCTAAGATGGCTTAGTCAGTGGAGTGAGCCACCATAAACTTGACAGGGTGTTACTTTGAAGGCCTTGCTAGAGTTGCACTGAGTTTCTGGAGGCTGGTATAGTTTGTCACCTAGCATTCAAGAGTCTTACTGCTGTCAGTGTCACCCACCCATACTTTAGCCCATATGGCCTTGTTCCTTTTCTCTTAAAGCAGCTCAGGATGGAGCAAGGAGCCCTCTGGGTCCAGAGAGGCTGGTTTTGTTGAGAAGATCATTTTTTCACACACTGGCTTGCACCTGAGAACGGGGCTGGACAATCCTTGCCCTTCTCTGGTGTGACAGCTCACACACCTTGCACTTATCTGTGCACAGGGTCCTACAAACCGTTTGTGTGCAAGATGTGCATGAGCCATTAGTGCACAGTGATACAATTTTGTGGCTGAGGGAAGCTACTGGTTGAACATTTGCTTTGAATGTGTGTATATTTAAAAAGAGAAGATCACATTTTTATAGGCATTTTGATAGCTCACGATGCAGGACTTAGAAAAATGGGGAGGTACAGAAAGAATGCTTTTGGGGTGGTGTTCAAAACCCCTCCAGCACTACGTATGTTTCAAACAGGACCCTTATTTCTTTTCCTGAGTTGGTGCTGCCTTTTGAATCCAGACTCTTCCCACTAACAGGTTGAATGCAGAAAATGGCATTAGTGCAACTTTGTATGGAGGATTAGCTGTCCGAGGTCATTTTTAGCCTGGAGAAATAAAGTTAAGCTTTATTTATATAAGGCTGATTTGGAAAAAAAAAAGTTTCTTCCCACAGGATCGTTGGAAAGAGGCAAATTTAGAGAAGAATGCTTTCTTGGACAGCTTTGTGGCATTCGGAGGAGGGAAGCATCAGTGTCCAGGAAGGTCAGTGAAACAGCTGGGGTTTATTTATTCCCAAACCCTGCAGAGAACAACTCTCTTGAACTGGGCTCCTCTTACACTTGGAGATAAAATGTTTTCATCGCTTTGCTCTTTATAAGTCCCCTGATGTTCAGCATGATCTGGGCCTCGTTTAAACTGATTTGAAAGTGGTTTAATTCCTGAAAAAGACAGGTTAAGTCACCATGTAAAAGCAGAATCTGAGACTTGGGTATGAAGGGATCTCCCCCAGGGAGGAAAGTCAGCCCAGCTCCACTGCTCCCAAGGCACCTTCTCATCAAGGGAGAGTTGTTGCACTTACAAACGTGCCAGTTTACAGACACAGGTATTTAGGTTGCCATAAAACAGTTCTAAACTAACCTAAAGAACATTTTGCTGGTCTGAGACTCTCTTTCCATCCTCTTTCACGTCTCTGCTGATATTCAAACGTCTTAAGTGGCTCCTCTCTGTTTAAACCTTGTCTTTGCATTAAGGCCCACGCAATTGTACGATGGCTTAAATTGCAGATGACTCCTCCAGCAATGCCAGCCTCGGTGCCTCCTGCATTCCTTCTGCTGTTTTCTCTGCTGTCCCTCTTCCTGGAACAAGTCCCAGGGAGCCAGCTGCTCCTCGGTTCTGTGTTCAAACATCTCTGTGCTCAATTCTCTGCCTTCAAAACCTGGTCTCCTCTAGGAAGCAAACAACCAAGAGGCCTTAAAATTGGTCAGTTGAACTCAAGAGTCCCACGTGGATTGAGAAATCCAGAGGGTGTTGCAGAGGATCCGTGTTCTTGACTCTGCACCCAGCAGGCTGGACGTGGCTGTCAGATAAACTTTGTGAAGACATCAAAGACATAAAAAAAAAATGAATTAAACTGCCTTCAGCCCTTTAGGCTTGCTGGAGAAAAGCCCTCACTCACTGCTCTGCCTCTGTGACTTGTGCCATATTCCTGAGCTCAACAGCGAGGGCCACAGCAGAATTCACAAGAGGCATCCGCAGGTACAGGAGAAGCTGCAAAACAGTGTTTCTGAAAGCTGCTTGTTTCTATACACTGCCCTATTTCTTGATTCAGGGTGTTCTCTGGACTCTGATAATATCTTGAAAATAAGGTTGTGGTTGGAAAGAAAATGATAACATTTCTGCACAGACAACGGATGGAGAATCTTTTTCTTGCTGACAGACAAAAAGTCCTTTCAAAGCCCTTGGGAGCCCACGTGGTAACACACGCTTTCCTGCTTTTCAGCAATAATTCTAAAAGAATAATGTGGTGGTCTTAGAAGACAGGAAATTAAACTAAGAGATGTATCTAGATCCCCTGGTGCAGATTTCCTTGGTATGGCTGAATGAAACAAAGATATTCAAGTTTAAGATGCATTTTCATTTAATTCAGTACTGGGATTTATAAATGGATATTATTAAGCATTTAATTTCTCCATTGAAAAAGTTCATCGTGAAATTAAAAGCTAATTTAATCAAACTGAAAGCTAGAAAATATCAAATATTCTAGCACACTGACATGGGAAGAGCTCCCACAAAGCCATTTTCAAGCCATCCTAATTTAATCAAACTGAAAGCTAGAAAATAACTAACTTATCAAATATTCTAGCACGCTGACACAGGAAGAGCTCCCACAAAGCCATTTAAAAGGCATATTTTTTTACCCAGAGGAAAAATTTGATGGCAGTGAAGCTACTTTTATCTAAGCAGGTGACTATTGCCTGTGTGACTGTATCTCGCACGGCTCCGTCTGTTGTGTCCTCTCCTCTGCTGACACTGGAAACCCTTCAGCACAACGACCACGATTTCATTCCCAAACTCCATGTGCTGCAGGACCCCAACCCACAGCTGGGCTCCAGCACAACGCCAACACGTAGAAGTGCATAGGGGGGGCAGGATTTCAGAAAGCTCATCTTTGTCACTAAATAAAACAGGAAGGTATCAGTGAATCAGAGTTTTTACAGGAAAATTGCTGTAGGACTCAGTAATGAGTATGAAAGGCAGGTGGGACAGATGAACCCCACCACGGGTACAGATCACAGAATCACAGAATCTTCTAGGTTGGAAGGGACCTTAAAGATCATCTTGTCCAACCGTCAACCTAACTGACAAAAATAGACACCCACACAACAAACAAGGAGCATCATCACTAAACCAGACCTCCCAGCACTACATCAACCCGGCTTTTGAACACCTCCAGGGTGTCAGATGTGTCAGTGCTGGTCAGTTCGCATCCAGCTGTGCTGGTGTTGGAAGGACAGAACCCTGTCAATGCAGCATTTCCGCTTTCAGGGCAACCTAGAGGCATTTTGGAATTTGGCCACATCATCTGTGCCAAACCACTGAGCTTCAGAGGCAGGACCTCGACCAGGAGCCCAGGACCACACTGTGGAACCAGAGCAGTGACTGTAAGGAGCCCACCTTTGTCTGGTGCTGCCAGCATGGAGTTTGGGTTAGCAAGCCGTGCCTGACCTGAGCTGATTTCCATTGAACTATCTCCACACTGCATTCCCCCAAGCTCATGGTCACCAAAAGCCCGGCTTTTGAACACCTCCAGGGTGTCAGATGTGTCAGTGCTGGTCAGCTCGCATCCAGCTGTGCTTGTGTTGGAAGGACAGTACCCTGTCAATGCAGCATTTCCACTTTCAGGGCAACCTAGAGGCATTTGGGAATTTGGCCACATCATCTGTGCCAAACCACTGAGCTTCAGAGGCAGGACCTCGACCAGGAGCCCAGGACCACACTGTGGAACCAGAGCAGTGACTGTAAGGAGCCCACCTTTGTCTGGTGCTGCCAGCATGGAGTTTGGGTTAGCAAGCCGTGCCTGACCTGAGCTGATTTCCATTGAACTATCTCCACACTGCATTCCCCCAAGCTCATGGTCACCAAAAGCTCCCTATCTCAAGGTAACTCCAATGTGAAACCATGGAGATAATTTGGGTCTGAAGCTACGCCAAAGCAAACAAACACCCTCCCACTCCGGAGCAGAGGGATGTGGGTGGCTCTGCAGGAGTTAGCCTGGGTCTCCTGGGGCTTGGTAGCTTCCTCTTCACACCTGCCAGCCCAAATCCAGGCTGACACCATGAGCCATCATGTGGCCTTCTCCCCGCTGAATGTTCCCTATCTCAAGGTAACTCCAATGTGAAACCACGGAGATAATTTGGGTCTGAAGCTACGCCAAAGCAAACAAACATCCTCCCACTCTGGAGCAGAGGGATGTGGGTGGCTCTGCAGGAGTTAGCCTGGGTCTCCTGGGGCTTGGTAGCTTCCTCTTCACACCTGCCAGCCCAAATCCAGGCTGACACCATGAGCCATCATGTGGCCTTCTCCCCGCTGAATTCCCCAATAGATCTTTTATCCAAGTTTTCCAGCGGCTGTTTGTTGTGTGGGTGTCTATTTTTGTCAGTTAGGTTGACGGTTGGACAAGATGATCTTTAAGGTCCCTTCCAACCTAGAAGATTCTGTGATTCTGATTCTGTGAACTGTGTAGAAGAGCAAGGTAGTATTACTATTTTAACTAGCTATTGAACACTTAGGGCTGTATTCTGCAAGTGAGTAATCCCATGACCTGGCAGAGGTACGTGCTAATGCCTGGATGCAGAAAGCTCTTGTACAGCTCAGAGGAGCTCACCTGCAGTTAGCTGAGATCTTCTCCAGACTGACTAAGACAGACCTTTCTTGAGAGTGTTACAGAAAAAAAAACAAACCCAAGCAGAAAGCATGCCCTTGGGTCTCATCCCGCATTCTGCCGCTGACGCATTAAATAATAACTCCCGCTGTCACAACCACTCTGATGTCATCAGGCTCCCAGCTGAATTATATAACTTTATATAGCACAATTAGTCATATAGCCTTTTCTATATTTGACTGTCTTCTCACCCCGATGAAGTTATTTCAAGGCGGCAAGCGTTAGAAGAACATCAATGTTTATAGAGTGGAAAAAACCCATAATGATAAGGGGCTGGTTTAAAATAGGGTGTCAGAGGGATGCTGTCGGGCTAACGTTTCACCGGAGGGAAGGGGCAACTGAAACATTCCTGCTCTTTGCTGGGTAATGAAGCTGAACAAAGCTACAGCATCTTTTCCTGCTGGAGATGATAAACTTTCAGGCAGAACTAAAGCATGGGATGTAAAATGTGTCAAAGACCCCTTGTCTGTCGCCCGGCGATGACACACGTGCGATGCTCAGGCCAACGTTTTCCTCCCTTTTCTTGCAGGTGGTTTGCTATCATGGAAATCCAGTTGTTCGTTGTGCTGTTCCTGTACAGATATGAATTTGTGCTTTTGGATGCAATACCAAAGGAGGTAAAAAATCCATGCATAAAAAATCCATGCATTTATATAGCATTCCACATCTTGATATCCTTCATTCATCACACTCAGCTGAACAGCCATGCTCAGTTGTGGTTATCTCTGATGAAGCAAAATTTTTGATAAAACATGTAATGTTTTTTTAATAAAACATGCAATGAATAACTTGATCTTCTTTTAACTCAGAAAAGCCAGCGTAGCTCCGGCAACATCAGTGGGGCTGCACTGTCTGTACAGGAATGCCCCTATGAGAGTATTTTTTCTCCTCGTTGCCTAAAGATTACAAGAGATTTTAGAATTGCTTTCTGCCACTCACAAAAATTACAAATACTTTATAAAGATATGAAATCAGATGCATGGCATGGGCTTCGTACGATTGCCCTTTTAGGCTGGAAGTTGGAAGCTCCGAGGACTTAATTCCTCTGGTATCCCTGAAGAACACGAGATGTTGATCTCCAGTAGTGGTGGAAGGTCCACCCAGAATATGGAGGAAGCCTCTTCCTGGCTGACGGTGTGTTGTACAACCAGCTCTCACTGCAGTTGGTTGTAACGCGGGTCTGCACCCACAGGCAATTATGCTGATGAAGATATTCAAAACCATTAGAGTTTCTTAAGATCTCATGTGTCATCTTCTGTCAGAGTGAGTGGAATAAAAAGCAATGATGAAGGCCCTACTCAATGGCTTCAGCAAAGCCAAGAAATGCTCTCAGTATTTGGTCTTGGTTCTCCAAGACCACAATTCCAAGAATATGTTTATATCACAATGATAATTCCATTAACTGAACTAACTTAAATGTTTCTTCTGATTTTCTTCTTTTTGCAGAGCCCTTTACACTTGGTGGGGACCCAGCAACCCATGGCACCGTTCCGGATCCAGTATAAATCCCGGGAGTGAAAGCTGCCCAGCTCTAACTGACCTTCCTTTGCCAGCCACCTCTGGAGGGATGGACCACTGAGCTGTGTCCCTGTCCTGTATCTTCAGATAGGTTCTCTGCCTTAACGGTTCTTCATTTAAACTTTAAATGCTGTTTATACCCTGGGTTGTGGTGTGCCATACCAGTATAGTCGTAACTGTGCTCCTCACCTGGCTGCCTACCTCCTGGTATTTCAAAACCAAGCTCTCCTCCTCATCATTTGTGGGCCAATTATTCACAGACTTTGCAAACCTGATACACTAAACTCACCAACCAGGCATTCTGGACGAAAAGGTGCTACGTTTGGAAATCCTGCGTGGAAGTTGTGCTAGAACCAGCAGAAAGGCAGGTCCCGTGGGCCAGGTCTCTGCTTCCTGCAGGTCTCTTTGAAGCAGGGCCAAAGCAGGGCTGTGTGGCACCTCCACAGATCTCCCTGGTGCTGGGGTGCACAAAATACAGGACAGAGCTGAGCAGAGACCTCTGGAGCAGATCTGCAGCCACGACAGACTCACACTGCCTGTGTGTCACTGCCTGTGTCGCTCCGTGAAGATCTGTCCTGCTCTGCCTACAAGCGGTGCCAACTTTTTGGAAATTAAAAGCATTTCTAATGGAGAAATTGCAAGCACGGGAAACACTGTTCCACTGGAGCACCCAAAATTTCTCCTGAGCTTTATTTGCTCCACAGGGTTCAGAATCCTTGCACGAATATGCAATGAAAGTTTGATCATGACATTTGGCTTTAACAAAAAGCCATTGCAAGAAAAGCTCTTGCCATCCATTAGGCTGGTTGTCTAATATCTAGAACACTTTTACTTTCCCTTCAACATGACTGACTGATAGAACAAATTGCACAAATCTAAAAATATTTAATCCTAGTAAAAGTTGTTCAAAGAAGCTGTCAAATAAGTTCAGATCCCAACACTGTAACTGCTGTCAGATTTCATGTACGATAAGAGCTGACATGTATTTTTAGTCTTTTAAGTAACGATTATTCATCATTTTAGAGGTATTTGCAGGAAAAAAAAAAAAAAAAAAGAAAATAAGTTTGGTGGGGTTTTTTGTGAAGCCTGAAGTTTACTGAAAATACAAAAGAATCAGAGGACATT